GATTCAGGGGCTAGTGATTCCGTCATCCTACATACGGGTCTCCGGCTTTCAAGGGCCTGGGCAGGGTGGAATTTCAGTCGACCAGGGGACCTGGTTGGTCGGCCTCCGCCCTGGCGTCGGGGCGCAGCGTTCGCTAAGTCGGGGCGCCCACCAAGGCCAAGCAGGCGGTCGCAGGCGATTGGCAAGAATAGCAGGAGCGACTTGGCCAGCAGCTGAAAGCGTTACCTCGCCAAGCACCGCTGCGCCAGATTCGGTGGGACAAAGCAGGGAGACGCGCCTCCACCGTCAAAGACATAACCCACAATCTCCCATGCATCTCACCCGAACTCAAATCTCACTCCTCCCTCCTCCACCTTTCCCGCCCAAACCTGCATTTGCTCCCCTGACCGCGGCAGCATTGCAGCATCCACGATGCAGCTCACCACCACCCTGTTTGTGGCGCTAGCCACGACGGCGACAGCGCAGCGCGTCGTGCCTGTGCACATCAAGCGGGACCACAGCGCCAAGGTGCCGTCGCTCAACTCGAGAATGCACCGCCGCGCCGCGCCCTTCGACGAGGTCCTCGCCAACAACGTCACCACGGGCGCATACTTTGCGACGGTCGAGGTGGGATCGCCCGGCCAGAGCATCACGGTCCACGTCGACACGGGCAGCAGCGATGTGTGGGTGCTCGCCAAGGACTCGGACCTCTGCGTCAGCACCCGGAAACAGACCGAGTACGGCTACTGCCTCGACACGTTTGACCGCAGCGCGAGCTCGAGCTACTCGGTCGTCGACTCGGGCGGCTTCGAAATCGAGTACCTCGACGGGTCGGGCGCCTCGGGCGACTACTTCACCGACAACATCAACGTCGGCACCCTCAACGTCAAGGGCGTGCAGATGGGCCTGGCGCGCAAGTCGACGAGCAGCTGGGGCATGCTGGGCATCGGCTACGGCTCCAACGTCGCCTCGAGCACCCCCTACCTCAGCATCATCGACCAGATGCTCAAGCAGGGCCTGATCGGCATCAAGGCCTACAGCCTGTACCTCAACGACCTCGAGGCCTCGACCGGCACCATCCTGTTCGGCGGCATCGACACCGAGAAGTACATCGACACCCTCAAGACGGTGCCCATCCTGCCCGACCCGCGCACCGGCAACATCACCCACTTCTCCGTCGCCCTGTCCTCGCTCTCGTCCGTCAAGGGCGACGGCTCCAAGACCGAGTTCCTCACCGAGCAGCTCGAGGTCATCCTCGACTCGGGCACCACCTTGACCTACCTCCCCAAGACCACGGCCCGCAAGATCTACACGGCCCTCAACGCCTACGACGACTCGGCCCGCTACCCCCTCGTCTACGTCGACTGCGCCCTGCGCACCGCCGACCCGGCCCAGGTCCTGCGCTACCAGTTCGGCGCAAACGGGCCCATCATCGAGGTGTCGCTCGCCGACATCATCTTCGACGACATCAAGCCCTTCATCCAATCCGGTGACCTAGTCCTGCCCAAGACCCTGGGTTTCTCCCCGGACAACGCGTGCAGCCTAGGCCTCCAGCCGAGCTCCGAGGGCGACGTGCACCTCCTGGGCGACAGCTTCCTGCGGTCTGCGTACGTCGTGTACGACCTGACGCACAACACTGTGTCCATGGCGCAGAGCAACATGAACTCGACCAAGGAGAACATCATTGAGATCGCCGCGTCGGCCACGGGGATTCCCTCGGCCACGGGCGCCGGTGCCCCGCCCAAGGCGACGAGCAGCAGTGCTAACAGTGCCGTGGGTCTGGCTAGGTCCGGGTCTGGGTGGGAGGCGGCCGTCATGGCTGGTGCTGCGGGGCTGTTTACCGTGGCGGGTGGTGTTTGGTTTGTTCTATAAGAGATGCATGGGGTAGAATCTACATGGCGGTTGCATTGTGGGCGCATTTTTTGAGCATATACTACTTGGGTGGCATACTTCTTGCATAGGTTGATAGTTTTGGGAGTGGGCGAGCATCTTGGATGGTTTGTACAATCTATAACTGCATAACTGCTACTAATATACCACGACTCTCTTGCCTTCTGACTCTTGGTTGAACTGGCTGGGGTTTTCCCGTGATGCGCTGTAGAGCGGCATGACAGCAACGCTGTATTGATAACATGTGTCAACCCCTGATACCTATTTGCTGACCTCAGACCAACAGGGGTTCAGAGGTACCTTTAGACTCAAGCAAGCAAGCTTTGAGTGCATCTATCATGTGAAGTTCGCCAAGCCTTGGGTAAGGCGGGGGTGGTGTTCCAGGGAGACTGCTAATCTAGTATACTTCACAGCGGGGGGTGCTTGATGACGGATAAAGTCCTGTATTATAACGAATGATGCTATGTAAACGAGTGTGTCTAGGTAAAAGCTAATAAGAAAGTGAAAATGCCCTGTGAAATGCCCTGCTCTAGTCCCAATGCCGATTATACCATCTAAGTTGGTCCTTTTGATCCTGAATGCAATGCTATGAAGCCCCCCCCCCCCCCCCCCTCCTGACGATGTCTCCATTCCAGGTGCCTAAGCCTTCTGGCACTTCCAGCTCTTGGCCTTGTTCTCAACCGCGTCGGTGAAGGTCTTGCGGCCGTTGATGTCGAAGCTCAGGCTCTCGGCGCCGCCGCACTTGACCTTGGGCCAGACGGTGCAGCGGAAGCCCGACTTAGCCTTGCCGCTCGAGAGGATCTTTTGGAAGTCCTTGGGGAAGTCGTAGCACTCGCCCACGGTGCCCGAGCCCGTGAACTTGCGGTCGAGGAAGTTCTTGGTCTCCCACACATCGATGAGCTGCTGCGCGCGCGCCTCGATGGTGGCCGTCTCGCCCGAGGAGAGGATGCTGGTGATGTCCTCGGGGGTGGTGGCGATGGGTGCAGGGGCAGCCATGGCGCTGCTGGCGAGCATGAGGGTGGCGATGGCCTTGGTGACGGTGATGAAATGCATCTTGATGGTTTGGGTTGAGGGTTTTTGTAGCTGGAAGCTTGAAGTGTTGAGGATGAGGAAGATGTGGAGGTGTGGTGTGTTTGTGGTGGTGTTGAGGCTGTTGTGAAGATGCTTGTTGTGGTGATGAGTTTTTTGTGAGCTTGGATGAGGGAGCGTGTCCGCGTCTTTATACTTGTCTGTCCATGGTTATCCCTGCCCATCAGCCATATGTTGAGTCTATTCACGCCTCTCTCCATAGCACAGGCTGCACAGCACAGCACCAAAGGCAAAAACTTGCAGTGTCCTAGAATAGAACCGGGCATGTTCTACACAAGCGCACGTCCTCCCTCGACCCGAAGCACCGGATCGGGTTTAGCCAGGGTTCTGAAAGCTGGGCGGTGGTAGAGCCCAGATACCCCTGGGCGCTGCTTTGTGCCTCTCGATTTGCCGGGGGAGGCTGTGCTGTCGAGTGGGCAAGATTCTGTCCGCTGCAAGGTGAGATAAGCTTAATTTGGCTCTTCAACGACATCGAAGGGTCTTCCACAGTCTCGCCCCTGGCCACTGGGGGCCACTACCGACTGGGAGGGCATCGAGTTTCCCGGGTTTCCTCTCTGGAAGACATGGACTGCGCCTTGCCGGTAGCTTGGCAGCCCGAATGCATCTCGGTTGATCATCTTAATCTATGCATGTAAGATCTGGAAATCTAAAGATGGGATCACCATATTTGCCGGCAGGGATAGGTTGGGGTGTTGAATCTGGCCTTCCAAGACTTAGTATTAGACTGAAGTTCACGATCAATATATCCATATTGGCCTCCCTCAATCTATTCCACTGCTCTATGTATGTTCCTCTCCTAGACGCCTACGACCTAACTCATTGTCGTGGCGACAAACCCCCAATGGTCTCACGAACTTTACTCATCCTTACCACCATTCACATTCACATGAAGCAGGTGACTAGAAGGTATGTGCGAACGTTTGTCTAGTGGACATGTTTTAGTTCTATTTCAACTCCACCAGCCCAGTCAATGGCGAAGTACATCCGGATAAACCGTAGATGGGGGCGGTGCGCGGGTACATCTTTCCCATAGTGTCTTCAGCCTTAAGATGATGTGAAATATAGTGGGATGTCTTGGCACCCCCAGAGACCCTCTGGCCAGGGCCGCCTGGCTCGGTAGAGACGCAAGTCATATGCTGCGGGTTGCACAGACATCGGAAATTGTCGCATTGCCATGTGGAGAGCGCCCAAGGCTTCCAGAACTCCCCGCCTGCACTCCCGGATTCACACATAATCACAAGGGTATCTTAAGTCCCTTGCATGCAATCTCAACAGCAGGTACACTGCCCATTCCGCACCGGAGTCGGCATGGCTGATGCTACACATGGAGATGAAGTTCATCATTAGTCGGTGCTGACGGTGAGCCAAAGACACCAGGTTAGTACGACGCTATCAGGTTCATGGTAGAGTGCTTCATCTCTGCATCACTCACCGCTTATTCATCGCCACCAAATGATTTGTTGTTTGATTGCTGTAAGAACATTAGGAAACAGACTGGTGGGTTTTGGAACGGTCTGATTCGCTGGCAGACGATGAAGATGGCAAGCCTCGACCTGCTTGATATTGACTGAAGTAGTCAGCCATCAAGTGCTGAGCAAGCACTCTGGAAGTATGATAGACGCTGACAGTGGTAGTTTCCTTCCATCATTTAATTTTATTGCCGTAAGCTTGGTGTCACTATCTTCTGTGCAAAGGTAATCCCCGTGGACACAAAGGATTCAATTCTTCAATTATTCACATAGCAAACGCCGGTCCTTGCAGGACAGCCACCATCATATGATACCACATGAGATTATCTCACCCCACACGGGCCCGATTGTTCGTGCTTTTTATATGGATGCTAGTTTGTTCTGATATAACAAGCTATTGCCCTTGTGATTGCCCTCGTGATTGCCCTCGTGACCTCCATCGGCTCAATGAGTGCCATTATCAGGGCGGCGTCCTGCTAAGCTCCCCAGCACCGGGTGGATCCTTGTCAAAATGGACTCACAGCTCCCAAAAGGCTTGGCATGACTATTCACAAAATGAAAAGCAAAAAGAGATGACAACGGTGGGATTCGAACCCACGCCCCATTACTGAGACCAGGATAATTGAATTCAGGTGGACCTGAACCTGGCGCCTTAGACCGCTTGGCTACGTTGCCGGGTTGATTTGTTGAACATGTTGTGCAATGTTTGTCGCCAAGGGGCGATGCCACGCCAACCGGAAGCATTGGCATCTACTTGGTGTTTTTGGATACCCGGGTGGAAAGTGCATGAAGGAAGTGGCCGATGGTCAAAAGACAAAAGAAGGGAAGGAAGGGCTCACATTGGACACCGGTTCCAACCAGGCTAACAGTTGCTTTACAGACAAAGCGTGCGGTGGTGTGAGTCAGAGGAAGAGGATATTATATCCACCATAATCAGGTTACCTTTTCAGCAAAGTAGCACAAATCTGCCTAATTGGCAAACTTGTAGCCTTTCGGGTATACGACTCACGTAGGGCTTCTTTGCTTTTTGCTAGAACCTCGCAGGTTTAAATCCTCCACGTATCCCTTTGTGGCTGTCATTGGCCACTTATATTCTGGGCGGATTCCATCCAATGCCGGAATCTGCGGCATTCCTAACAATGCAAGGCTGATCAGCTTGAAAGGAATTGGAATTCTATTAATGCAAATGGCACCTTCTAGCATGTCTAGAGTCTACACCTAGTCCCGGCAATCCTCTAGACGGCCGCCTTCTCTGTCTCGCTCGATGAAGCCCCATCCTGTCGCACCTCCTCACCTGCAACCACACCCTTAACCTTGGGCGAATGCGACATTTGCGGGAAGAAGACACCCGGTGGGAACCCTGCCAACAGCCCGGACGCAATCAAGATCATGAATGACTCGAGCACGACAAACGACGGCTCGTCCTGCATGATATGGTTCCCCCACCCGCCCGCCATCTCGGCGATACGGTAAACACACCGGATCAGCAGCGCCGAGTAGGCCCCGAGCATGGCATACAAGAATAGTCTGAACTTCCCATTGCTCCACAACCTGACCCCCTGATCCCCCTCGGGCGCCTCCCCGCTCTTGACCCAGGCCCGCACCCGCCACAGAAACTCGCCGCTCAAGCCGCCAAACAGCCCCAGGACCACAACCTGCAGACAGATGCCCGCAATGACAGTCCGGTTCCCGTGCTGCAGCAGGTCAATCTTGTCCCTCCCGGCCGCCGCCGCAATCCCACCGCCAATGGCCTGAATGACAAGACACGAGACATCGGCCGGGACGAAGAACAAGGGATACGCCCGCGGCGCAACGCGGCTGAGGCCCGGGTTCAGCGCGAGGACGGCATGGCGCAGCGTGAGGTAGAGCCCGACGCAGACGAGGGTCGGGCCGAGGATGATGGCGACGATCTGGGTCTTGAACGCGGACCCGTTCCACGGGTTGGACGCCAGCAGCACGCGGCCGACGTAGCCGGCGCACTCGAGGATGCACCCCGAGGCCACGGCCAGCGAGTAGCCCCAGGTGCGCTTCCAGATGCCGAAGACGAGGGTGGTGATGGCGGCCAGGCCGAAGGCGGCGGCGAGGAAGGCGTTGACCCCCTCGTTGGGGAAGTAGCCGAGCGTGGTGGCCCGGACCGGGCAGAAGTCGGTTACCTCGGAGCACGTCTCGTAGCTCGGGCGGAAGGGTTTGGTTGCCATGGCGGCGGCTGGTATGTGTGCGACGTGGGGTCGGGGTTGGTGGTCGGGGTTATGTCGTCGACATCGGGGGGTTGAGAATCTTTTGAAGTGGACGCAAAAGAGCGATTGAGTCGTGGAACAAAGGAACGCGCTTTGGGGCTTGGGGTGGATGGGGTCCTAGTATTAATAGAGACGGCAGGCTAGATCTAGTCTGTGTTGGAACTTATTGATGATGATTAATCCCTGTTGCCTACTCCATTGTGTTCCATTGTTGGGAACCGGGTCCACCTGTTCCCGTATGGAATTCTAGCTTGCAAGGCCGAGATAAGCTGATTGCAACGTTAGCGCAGCTGTTGCGTGCGAGCCAAGATGCAGCGTGGGCAGCCGTATGGGGAGAGAGGAGTTAGTAGGGCGAGATGAGGAGCCTCATCGGGTTGTGCTGACACCAACCCGATTGCATGCACCCGGGGGCGGTTGGTTATCACTGCATGCTTCCTTGACCTGATTGGTGCAGGTTTGAAGAGCGAGCCGAATACGATTATGGACACCTCCTGGTGTTCCCCAAGCATCCCAAAAGCCCCAAAGTTCCAGGCCCCGGGTCCCGGGCCCCGGTTCCTGGCAATTTCGGACGCGGCACTACCACTCGATGGACTTTGTATATCGCCTTGGACTGGTTTCCCCCCATTTCATATCCTGTGTTTGGACGAATTTCGAGCGATACTAATGTTGATTCCGTATGCGTCATCCCAAGTTCAGGTTGTGCACTCCTGAGTCCTGGTTGAGCGGCCCGAAACCCCCCCCCCCCCCCACACGGCCGGCTTCCGGCTTCCCGGAATCTGGTGCTCACCCCAGCCATCACAGCTGGGTTTCTGATATTCGGTCGCGAGATCATCGCAGGGATAAGTTTCTTGCCAGAGAGGCTGACGAGGTAAGCTCAAGAGTCAATGTCCAGGACGGAAAGCCAGTCGTTTGTGACGACTCATGTTAGTCATGTCATTCCTCCTAGGAGGTCTTACACCAGCATCAGCTCGCTACAAACCCTATCATTCGCTCAAGTAGTCTGACAAGGTGACACAAACACGGACACTTCCAGTCGGATTATTGGGCGCATGCATGTGTCAGATCGAGATCGAGACTAACATGGCTTCCGCATTCCAGACCGGCTCGTTGGGACGGCGATTAGCTGCCCAATTTCAACGGCCCGACCAATCGATGGAACCAGGGGAACTTCCCGACTCGTCTAGCGCCATGTCGGGAGGGACGGCTTTGCCCGAAGTAGCCGTCACAAATACCGATCTCGCTGAGCAGACCCCCGAGTCTCTGATATCGACCCCCGAATCCGTCGGCATAAGCTCGCCATCCTCAACGTTGCCCCATGCACCAAGACACGCCCGGCGCGCTCACAAGAAAAGCCGGACCGGTTGTGCAACATGCAAGACGAGGAAAATCAAGGCACGAAACCGTTTCCCCCCAAACCCGTCCTCGACTAACAGCCGCCGCTCAGTGCGACGAGCGCCATCCCGCATGCCTCAACTGCATATCCCACGGCGTCCCATGCCCCTTCCCCACGGTACAAACAGCCAGTAAACAAACCCCCTCCCGCCCCCCCATCTCCCCCCTTTCCCCCCCTCCCGTCTTCACCCCCGCAGCCCCCTCGGACCCACCGCTCCCCCTCCTCGAACTCGAACTCCTCCACAACTTCACCACGCACACCTACTCCACCCTAGCCGCGGACCCAACAATCTGCACCTTCTGGCGCGAGACTGTCGTCTCCATCGGCCTCCAGTGCCCCTACATCATGCGGACCATCCTGGCCATCTCAGCCCTGCACCTGGCCTACCACCGCCCAGCCCTGCGGTCGCACTACACCACGCACGCGCTGCTGCTGCACCAGACCGCGTCCCGCGCCGCCACGGCGCTGATCACGCCCGGCATCGAGTCCCTGACCGACGCCGTCAGCCTCTTCCTCTTCAGCATGTTGACGGTCTACTTCGGTACGTCCCCCTTTCCCTCCCGGGGGGTCAGAGCCCGTACTGACTAGCGACCACAGCCCTGGCAAGCCCGCGCCGCTCCCTCCCGGACGGGTCCTTCTTCATCAGCGACGCGGCCTTCCCCGACTGGGCATTCCTGATCAACGGGGCCAAGTCGCTGAGCAACGTGCTGGGGGAGCAGGGGCGGGATACCGTGCTGGCGCCCTTCCTCGAGTACGGCGGGCGGCGGTGGAGTGCGCAGCGGGACGGGAGGAGCGCGCCGGGGGAGGGGGGTGTCGAGGCACTGCGGGCGCGGATCCGGGACGGGGTGCGGGGGGAGCCGGGGTTGCTGGCGACGTACGGCCACGCGGTGGATGAGTTGGAGCTGGCGCTGGTTGCGAGGGGCGAGGGGCCGCGGGATGTTTTGGATGCCATGCTTTGGTGGGTTTCATCTTTTGATGACCTGAGCTTGAGCGAGAAGCTGACTTCATCTAGGCTCTGGGAAGTCTCCGACTCCCTCGTCCCCCTGCTCAGATCGGACCCGGCTCGAGGCCTGGCGCCGGCTCAGGAGGCCGTGGCCATCTTTGCCCACTTCTGCATCCTGCTCAAGCACCACGAGAGCCACTGGTGGCTGCAGGGCTGGGGCGACCACCTCATCTCGCGGGCGTACGACATCTTGGATGCGGAACACAGGAGCTGGATCGAGTGGCCCATGAGAGAGATTGGCTGGATGCCGCCATTACACATAATGCCATAAGTGGGGAGGAGCTTTACCGTGGTCCCAGATATGTGAAACAAGAATTCATTCCGCGCTTCCCCCCGAGACTCGTATACGCTCTCAACGCCAGTAAATCCAACAATCAGTGTCAAAAAAAAAGCTGCTGAGCATCCCTGGCCAACATTCTCTATTACAAACAATCATATCCACCTCAAAACAGCCACCTGAAATAGACAAAACATATTTTTCCACCGCTTGCCGGCGCTGGGTATCTTCTCAAAACGTATGTGTTGCTGCGGCTCGCCATTCAAAACCGTTGGTAGATAGCTTCGCAGTAAAAGCCTAGCAGCAAAAAAGTGCAACAACCTCCTCAACTCCATCCTGCCCGGATTTTTAGAGACTCCTAGGTCTCTCCAAAACCTTCACATCCGTCTTGGACCCGTTTCCCTCGTGCGCCTTGTCCTTCACCTTGAGCTTCTGGTCGTGCAGATACTCCCTGAAGCCACGGCGGATGTGCTGCCGAGCGCGCTCACCGCGCAGCGACGTCCAGCTGCGCAGCGGCAAATCAAAGCTGCGCTCCTCGTCCGTGGACAGCTTGGTCTGCGGTCCGGCGGCAGTCGTCCCTTGCTTGGTCGCAACAGGAGTGGTAGCATTGGCTTCGACATCGTCACCCACCAACACCGACTTGCCGGAACCGGCAGCCTTCTTCTTGCTCCATGGCATGCGGATGTGAATGTGCGGGTTGAGAGCCGAGATCCAGTGGTCTGGCGTCAGCCGAATCAACATACCCCAGGGGATTGAAATGGCGCC